CGAAACGAAAAAAGAGAAAAAAAAATAAAAAAAGGTGATACCTATCAAATATATACCAAGATTGTTTCGACTCGTTAGTTCTGAAACCAATGTTGCTAACACAAATTGCTCGTCTCTTCTCTCAGGATGTTGGAAAATCCTTGCTCGAGAGCTACTCGAGGGTCCTCGAGAGCTTAGCATTCAACATAATGGCCCGAATAGATGACCTCATTTACGTCGATGACCTGTCCAAGCACTCGGGCCAGCTTTTCTCCATCTCTAAAGTCGGCGTGATTCCTCAAGTGGGCCCCACAGCTGGCGGCACGCCTTACAAGACAGCTTTTGGGACTCCCGAGTTTTCACCTTCACCGTTGATTATTAGCCCAGCAAAGGCTTACGGGTTGTTATCTCCGTATAGTTCGCAAAGTGTGAAGAAGCATTCGGTTCTTGGTTTGGGAGTGAAGCGTATTTTGACGGATTATTTGAGTAGTGATCAAGGGAAAGTGAAGGATTTTGGAAGCTCTCGTTCGGGTGTGGGGGCTCGAGTGATATCCACATGTTCGTCTCGCGAGTTTTCGAGGGATTCCGATGAGGCGAACAGTTAAGAGGAATGAATATGATCATCTTTNTCATGGTTTGTTTGTCCCACTCTCTATATGTCTCTCTGTGTTTGTGTCTGTGTGTTTGTGTGTGTGTGTGTGTGTGTGTGTTCTTTATCTCTTTGCATGTGTGTACATGGTTGGAAAGTATTTGAATGTATGCAATTTTTTTGTTTTGTAATTTGATGTGTTGAAACTTGAAAAAGATGAGTGAGATTTCTTTTGTGATATTCATGCATTACATCATTAATTTGAGGTCATAAACAAATCATGAAGGTTAATGATGGGTGCTTTATTCTATTTTCAAATAGGAGAATTATTATATTCTTTCATTTTATGTTCAGGAATCCCTTTTTTTTTTATTTGCTGAATCTTGGATATGTTTCTGGTCTTGACAATTGATGGTAATGGATTTTTATTTTATTTTTTAATTATTATCCTATTTCACTTCTGTGTTTAGAGAAAACCTCATGTTTTCATGCAGTTGAATAAATAGAGTAAAAGAAAGGGAATTTTCAGTTTGTCAAACTAAATGCTGCAAGATTAATGTTAGCCAATGTTCCTAGGAAAAATGAAATCTTGATATTATCATTATATGCATGTACATATAAGGTTGAAAATGAATGATTTTATCAGCTAATTGTGCTTTTTGTATGAAACTAATAAGAACTGCAGAAAATTATGGAATAATTTTTTATTTTTATTTTTTTGCTGTGAGATTCTCTTTGGGCATATTATAACCACAGCCACAAGTGAAAAATGCATTTGTCTTATAAAACCCAGTTGCAAAAAATTCCCAGAAAATGGATAAATTTCTTTCCCCTTACACCACAGGGAAAACAAATGCAAATAATATTCCAATATTCCAAC